CCGGCCCTCACACTAAATGTTTCCAGGGACAGGACCTATGTGGTTTTTGCTCCCTCTTGGACTTCTAGTGCCTGTGCAGGATCCTGACCCATCTAGCAGGTGCTCAGTATATATTCTTTACATTTATAAATAAAATCAACTGTAGCTTGATCCCCCAAGGCTTTGTTAGTGCTAAAAATAATACACATAAACAATAATTTCTTAAAATTATAAAATAAAGATCTGTTTCAAGGCTTTGCAAAGTTACTATCATCAGGAGCCTGCCCCTTAGCTCAGTTCTTTAAGTGGCTGCTTCAACAAAGCAGTCAGGCTCAGGTTGCTGGGGTTCGATCACCTCAACTCAAGCCAGCCAAACCTGCCCTGAAGGCATTCAGAAAAAAAAACGTTAATATCATCAATTTTCATGAATATTAAGGCTTTTGTACTATATTTATCCATATATTTCTCCTAATTTGATACAACCTACTTTTAGACTATGTTAATTGTTATAATTTCGAATTGCTTATGCTTAATTTTCTTTTTTCCAGGTACCACTTTTAACCTCTGAAACAAATGAGGAAAGTGGAGAACAATATCTGAGCAAACATTGCTATGTAATATTTTTTTATTTTTTTAAACCAAAGCTCTCTGAATATTTATTTTAAAGTATTTTTAGAAAGGAAGTTGAGTTCTATTTGAAACAGGGAACAAAAAATGACTAGCTATTCGAAGTGGAGCAGTTTGCATGCTGATCACAAAACAAAGTCCCCCTCTGCCCTCCCCCCACACGCAGCAGTTCATCTTTTTCTTTCTTGGAAGACAGCTCAACAGGCTTTTTTTTTTCAGTTCAGCTTGCTCCTTGGTAGTACTAATACAGTACAGAGCCCTCCATCAAAGGCATTTTTTACACTGCATCCAATAGCTCACCTAGGAAAAAGCATCTTGTAATTCACAGTCTGAATAATTAAGGGGTAGTAAAGGAGACAGAATTGTGGATTTTTTGTCTGAAAACAAGGACAGCAAAGCATGCAAATTTGATGTTCACACAGGCAGCACTATCTGCAGAACCTAACAGAACTGTATTCATTTTGCTAAAACATACCAGGAATGGCTGTCCCAACAGAGAGGCCAGTGCCACTGTCGGATAATTTCCCGTCAATATAGACCTTCCAGACTCCTCCAGCACTTGTCCACGTGATTGCAATGTGGTGCCAACTGCCGTCATTCACCGAGGGACAGTTTGTTATCCTTTCCTTGCCATTCACGTAAAGGACCCAGCTGTAGAGAGAAAGATTCCAGGGAGCAGTCAGTCATGTGCTGCAGTCCTTTCTGTGGGGCATGCTCCTATTTTTTTTAAACTTTTTTGCGTAAAGTCCTCTGTGCAAACCCATCCGTCCTTCTACTTCCTTTGGTCATATTAAAAAAAAAAACCACACACACAAACACACATCCAATTTAATTATTCTACTTGATTGTATCTTGTTTGGAAAATTTGTGTTTTTTAAACACTGAGAAGTAGGACGCATTTTTCAGATGAGTCACTTTTAGACAATGTACTACCTGGCTATTTTGGAAAGAGAGTAAAGAGCGAAAGTGGTTGAGCTCTGTAAATGTCACGCACATAGCTGTTTTCCAGAACGCGTGTTTCCTATGACTAGGAACAGCTTCGGCTTTCCCATAGCAGGTGAGTGTGTGTCATGGCTGCTGCCATGGCCTGAGAGGGTTTTTTTTTTTTTTAAACTATGATTTTATTTATTTATTTATTTATTGTTTAAATTTTATTTTATTGAGAAACAAAAATCAACAAGATGTTTTCCAAGCTGATTAATAGGACATTTTCAATAATTAATACATTGCACATTGTTATCTTCTCAGTGGTCATCCACAGTACAAGAAGCAGCCAGGACATCCCGTTCAAACACTACTACTACAAATTCTTCCTCTCACTGAACGAAGCGGAAGCAACTGTACATCTATCCTAGCTATTCTGTATATACAAATACAAAGTGGTCCTTCCTCTGTATTCGCCCTCTCCACTTCAGTCCTGTCAGAGATGGGTATTCTATTGGCATCTAAATACTATGGGTGCTTGAATTCAGCAAAACAATCCAACACAGTCCAGTAGTCCACAATAGTAGTGAGTTATCCACAAAAGTTGCTGACTAGAGCCTTTTACAGCTCAGCATATTAATATGGCTTTATTTTATATACCTCGTTTTTATACTTTTCTGCTGGATGGTTAAGACCAAGATAAAGCAAGACCTATGAAACTTTT